GTTCCTGTTGGAGTGAAGGATAACGCTGGGAAGTTTAAGAAACATTTGATGAATAAAGATGTTGAGGTTCTTGTCAAGAATAAAAGAGAATCTTCTTTTAGATATAGATAATTTGGTTCAATACAATCTCTGAATGAACATAAAATTGTGTAGGCGTGTTCTTAAGAGGGAAATCAGGAAGGCAAAAAGTGTGTGGGAGATAAGGTTAAGAATAATCCAAAGAGACTCTACGAAGACATTAAGATCAAGAGGGTACATAGAGAGAGGGTGGGGGCTCTTAAAGATCAAGGAGAAGGTCATCTTTGTGTTGAGCCCCAGGAGATGGGAGAGATACCAAATGAACGTTTTGCATCAGTTTTTACTGTGGAGAACGAAATGGAGACCAGAAAATGCAGAAAAATAAACTGTGATGTTTTAAAAACAGTTCACATTCAGGGTTTGAGTGAAGATTCGTAGCTCGGGTGCTGATTGTAGATGTTGGTATGTTCGCTGACCTGGGAGGTTCGATAAAAGACGTTTAGTCCTGTTACGAGGTGACATCCTCAGTGCTGTGGAGCCTCCTGTAAGCGCTGTTGTCTTGTGCCAGTTCCAATTTGTGCAGTTTCCGCATTCGGACACCTCAGAACTGACAGTCAGACTACTCAGACCACAAGGAATTGTGACAACACACAACCTGGCAGCCACACTAAAACAGCAACTGACCAGGGTTAAAGACCCAATAGATACCATGTACCGAACAAATGTTGTTTACAAGATACCATGCGGAGACTGCACAAAACACTACATGGGACAAACAGGCAGACAACTAGCAACCCATATCTTCAAACACCAGCCAGCAACTAAACGACGCAACCAGATGCCCTTGGTTTCAATACACACAGACGAGAAAAACCACACTTCCAACTGGGACAACACTACTATCGTAGGACAAGCCAAACAGAGGACAGCCAGGGAAGTCTTGGAGGCTTGGCATTCATCTGCAGACTCTATCAACAAACACATTGAATTAGACCCGATATACCCACCATTACAACGCACAACCGGAACTGGCACCTACCGGAAGCAACAAAATCCAGACCATATAAATTTGAACCGGCACAAGACAACAGCGTATCACAGGAGGCTCCACAGCACGGAGGATGTCACCGAGTAAGGGGACGAAACGTCTGCTATTGAATGACCCAGCTCGGCGAACATACCAACATCTATTAACAGTTCACATTACAGAAGAGGAAGTTCGGGATTCTTAGAGAATATAAAGGTAGATAAATCTCCAGGACCTGAGGTAATGTATCCAAGAGCATTGTGGGAAGTAAGGGAGGAAATTATGAGATCCCTTGCAGAAATATTTGCATCATCCATATCGATGGGTGAGGTGCCTGATGCCTGGAGGGTGCCTAATGTTTTACCTTTGTTGAAGAAAGGTTGTAAGGAGAAATCGGGGAACTATAGACCTGTGAGTCTGACTTCATTTGTGGGTAAATTGTTGGAGATGATTACGAAAGATAGGATTTATGGACATACAGAGAGGCAAAAATTGATTAGGGCTAGTCAGCATGGTTTTGTGCGAGGAAAATCCTGTCTCTCAAACTTGATTGAGCGTTTTGAGCAAGTTACCAAAATAGTGGTTGATGGCAGAGCAGTAAAAGTTGTTTATTTGGATTTTAGTGAAGCCTTTGACAAGGTTCCGTATGGTAGACTAATTAGCAAAGTTAGGTCACATGAAATTCTGGGTGAATTTGCCAATTGGATACATGATTGGTTTAATGGCAGGAAACAGAGTAACATTGGAGGGTTGCTTTTCGGACTGGAGGCTTGTGACCAGTGGTGTTCCACAGGGATCAGTCCTGGGTCCTCTCTCATTTGTCAATGATATGAATGGTTTGGATGAGAATATAGAAGGTGTGGTTTGTAAGTTTGTGGATGACACCAAAACTGGTGGCATAGTAGACAGTGAAGAAGGGTTTTCTCAGATGACAGAGGGATCTTCATCAAATGGGTCAATGGGCTGAAAAATGGCAGATGGAGTTGACTTTGTATGAATGTTAGGTATTGCATTTTGGTGCATCAAACAAGGGTAGTGCTTATACAATTAATGGTAAGGCCTTGGGTGATGTTGTAGAACAGAGGGACCTCGGATACAGGTACAATATTCTTTAAAGTTTGCGTCACATATAGCCAGGATGTTTATACAGGCATTTGGCATGCTTGCCTTCATTGCTGAGTCATTTGAGTACAGGAATTGGGACATTATGTTGAGGTTGTACGTGACATTGGTGAGGACTCTTCTGGAATATTGTGTCTAGTTCTGGTCGCCTAGTTATAGGAAGGATACTATCAAGGTGGAGAGGGTTCAGAAGAGATTTCCCAAGATGTTGCTGCTATGGAAGGTTTGAGTTATAAAGAAAAATTGGATATGGCTGGGGCTTTTTTCACTGGAGTGTATTAGATTGAGAGGCGGTCTGAAAGAAGTTTATAAAATAATGAGAGGTATAGATAGAGTTGATGGTCGTTGTCTTTTCCCTAAGATGGGCGAAATTGCAAGACTAAGGGGCACATATTTAAGATGAGAGGAGAGAGATTTAAAAAATACAGCAGAGGCAAACTTTTTACGAGTGGATGGTTCACATGTGGAATGAACTTTGTGAGAAAGTGGTGGATCCAGGTACAATTAATAAAAGAGATGTATGAACAGCAAAGATTTGGAGAGAAATGGGCCAGGAGCAGGCAGTTGGGAACCAGTTTAGTTTATGTTTGGCATGGACTGTTTGGACCGAAGGGTCTGTTTCCATGCTGGATGACTCTATGACCTGAAAATATGGCCCCTAGTCTTGAAATCCCCCACCCAAGGGAAAAGACACCTGCCATTCACCTTATCTATCCCCCTCGGGATTTTATAAACCTCTGTAAGGTCACCCGACTACCTGCTAACATTTCAGTGGTAAAAAAAATCCCAGCCTATCCAGACCCTCCTTAGAGCTTAAACCAGCCGAGAAACAACGTTCGACAAGGTTCCTTGTGATGGACTGGTTAGCAAGGGCAGATCTCATGGAATAGACGGAGAACTGGCTATTTTGATACAAAACTGGCTTGAAGGTAGAAGACAGAGGGTGGCGGTGGAGGTTGTTTTTCAGACTGGAGGCCCTTGGCCAGCAGTCTGCCATAAGGATGGGTACTGGATCCACTGCTTTTCATGGTTTATACAAATGATTTGGATGTGAACATAGGAGGTATGGTTAGGAAGTTGGCAGGTGACACCAAAATCTGAGTGGTTAGTGAAGAAGGTTACCTCAAAGTATCTTGAACAAAGGATCTTGAACAGATGGGCCAATGAGCCGAGGAGTGGCAGATGGAGTTTAGTTTAGATAACTGTGAGGCGCTGCATTTTGGAAAGGCAGATCAAGGCAGGACTGACACACTTACTGGTAAATGTTGCTGAACAAAGAGATGTTGGAGTTCATAGTTCCTTGAAAGTGGAGTCACTGATAGATAGGATCGTGAACAACGCATTGGGTCTGCTTGTCTTTATTGGTCAGTGCATTGAGTACAGGAGTTGGGAGGACATGTTGCTGCTGTACAGGACATTGGTGAGCCACTATTGGAATACTGTGTGCAATTCTGGTCTCCCTGCTGTAGCAATGATGTCGTGAAACTTGACAGGTTTCTGAAAAGATTTACAAGGATGTTGCCAGGGTTTGGAGGATTTAAGACTGAATAGGCTGGGGCTATTTTCTTTGGAGCATTGGAGGCTGAGCGGTGACCTTACAGAGGTTATGATTATGAGGGGCATGGATAGGGTAAATAGACAAGGTCTTTTCCATGGGTTGGGGGAGTCCACAACTCGAGGGAATAGATTTCAGGTGAGAGGAGAAAGATTGAAAAGGGACAGAAGGGGCAACTTTTTCACACTGAGGGTTGTGCGTGTATGGAATGAGCTGCCAGAGGAACTGGTGGAGTCTGATACAATTACAACATTTAAAAGGCATCTGGAGGGATATATGAATAGGACAGGTTTAGAGGGATATGGGCCAAATTCTGGCAAATGAGACTAGATTAATTTAGGATATCTGGTCGGCGTGGATGAGTTGGATGGAAGCAGGGGAGTGGGGAGACAGTGAGAAAATGAAATCAGTCTGAGGCTGGTGCATTTGGGAAAAGGGGCAAGTCAAACAGTCAAGGCAGGCAGGAGCAAAGTAGAGAATTAAGTTCGAGTGATAAGTTAAACTAAATTATATCAATGCAAGAAGCCTGACAGGTAAAGCACATGAACTCAGGACATGGTTGGGAACATGACCCTGGGATATAATAGCTATTACAGAGATGCAGCCAAGGATGAACAGGACTGACAGTTAAATGTTCCAGGGTACAGATGCTATAGAAAGGATAGAAGGGAAGGGGTATGGTGTTTTTTATGAGGGATAAGCTTATGGCTGTATGTAAGGAGCATATTTTGGGGTGTGCATCCAGTGAAGTTATTTGGGTGGAACTGAAAAGTAAAGAAGGGATGATCAGCTTATTGGTATTGTACTATAGACCCCCTAATAGTCAGTGGGAAATTGAGAAGCAAATTGGTCAGGGGATCTCAGTTATCTGCAAGAATAAAAGGATGGTAATGTCAGGGGATTTTAACTTTCTAAACATGAACTGGGACTGCCACAGTCTTAAGGGCTTGGATGCAGAAGGATTTGTTATGTATGTGCAAGAAAATTTTCTGATTCAGTATGTGGATGTACTGCCTGGAGAAAGAGCAAAATCTGACATTCTCTTGGGGAATAAGGCAGGACGAATGACTGAGGGGTCAGTGGGGGAGCACTTTGGAGCGAGTGATCATAATTCCATTAGTTTTAAAATAGTGACGGAAAAGGATAAACAAACAGGAGGCTGGAAGAACACAGCAAGCCAGACAGCATCTCGAGGAGTCAACGTTTTGGGTGTAATTTCAGGACTGAAGAAGGGTTCTACCCGAAATGTTGACTGCTGCTTTGCTCCAGCTGCTACCTGGCTTGCTGTATTCTTCCAGCCTCCTGTTTGTCTACCTTGGATTCCAGCATCTGCAGTTCTTCTGACTCTCTGGAGAGGGATAGGCTTGATTGAGAAAAAAATTAAAATTCTACATTGGAGGAAGGCAAATTTTGATAGTATTAGGCAAGAGCTGTGAAAAGTCGATGAGAGGTGGTTATTTGCAGGTAAAGTGATGGCCGGAAAATGGGAAGCCTTTAAAAATGAGATGATGAGAGTCCAGAGACAGTATGTTCCTGTTATGCTGAAGGCTGGTAGGTGTATGGAATACTGGCCGACAAGAGAAATTGAGGTTTTGCTGAAGAAAAAGAGGGAAGCATATGGCAGGTACAGACAGCAGGGATTGAGGGAATCCCTGGAAGAGTATAAGCACAGTAGGAGGATACCCAAGAGGAGAATCAGGAGGCCAAAAAGGGGACATAAGATAGCTTTGGCAAATCAGTTTAAGGACAATCCAAAGGGATCAAACAAAGACATGAAGGACAAAAGAGTGACTACGCAGAGACTAGGGCCTCTTAAAGATCAATAAGGCCACCTGTGTGGAAGCACAGTCGACGGGTGAAATACTAAACGAGTATTTTACATCAGTGATGACTGTGGGGAGGGATACAGAAGCTGGAGAACTTGGGGATTAAATAGCAATATTTTGGAAAGTGTCCATATTGCAGAGGAGGAGATGCTGGACATATTAAAAATGACAAATGTCTCCATTTCACATTGGCAAATTCAAACCAGTGGAGTCCCACAGATTTTGGGTTTGGGGTCTCAACTGTTTCCGATTGATGTGAATTATTAGAATGAAGGGGCCTACGACACAACAGACACACACTAGACAAAGCAATAACAGATAGGAAAGCAGATTTATTAAGTGGATGCAAAAAAAATCTGCAGAGCGAAACAATATTAGTATGTAAAAATTGTCAACTCAGCCTAGGTTTACAGGACAGTTAGCCCAGAGCTGGAGCAGCAGCCGAGAGGCGGGGAGACACAGTCCCCTGGAGGGAAGCTCCTGCTGCTGTTGTGATACTGTTACAGGAACATCCGGAGAATCTGCAGAACAGTTACGACAGGCATCATCACTTCAGAAAGTGAGAAGGGGCTTTGGATTCGTGTGAACTGGTCACCTGACGATTACTGGTTAACCCCTTCGTATCTCAACAGATTTAGAGCAGAGGGAATTTAGTTCCAGTTAACCCTTTCATAACCATATTGACAGAGAAGTAGAAAATCTTCGATCAGGTTAGGATTAACACCGTTAGTAAAGCTAAGTGCACCTAATTAACTAAGACCTTATAAGGCTCAACCTCTTAAATTTTAGAATGGTGGGAACTTAGATTACAGAGGATCAGGGTAGAAAATATTCAGTAATAAGTCGAGTAATTCCAGTCTGAGGTGTTAATTGTAAATTAAAGACATATAGGGAGAGGACAACCAAGTGGAATATGTAGCTTGTCATACCTGGGGAGTCATGGATGCTGCCAGTGTCCCAGGTGACCACATATGTAGGAAGTGCTCCCAGCTGCAGAAGCTAGAGCTCCAGGTTTCAGAGCTTGAACAGGGTTGGAGACACTGTGGCACACCCGTGAGGTAGAGTGTTAAGTGGATAGCACGTTTAGAGAGGTGGTCACATCGTGGCTCACGGGACTAGAGGGACGAAGTGAATGGGTGACCACCAAACAGTCCAGAAAGAACAGGCAGGTAGCTCAGGAGTTCCCTGGGATCCCAATAACTAACCAATATTTGAGTTTGGAAGCTGATGTGGATATTGGTACCTTGGAAGAGTGTGGTCAGAGCCAAGCTTCTGGCACTGCAAGCAGCTTGACTAAATTGGGGAGGAGGAAGAAGAAAGGAAGAGCAAAAGTGATAGGGGATTCTTTAGTTAGGAGAGCAGACAGAGGTTTCTGCGTACAAAGACATGACATGTGATGCTGTGCCTCCCTGGTATCACAGTCAGGGATGGCACTGAACAGCTTCAGGGCATCCTGAAAGGATAGGGTGATGAGTTGTAGACTTTGGTACATGTTGATACCAATGTGGTACCAACGATATGGGCAGCATGAGGAATGAGACCTTACATCAAGAATTCAGGGAGCTAGACAGTAGTTTAAAAAGCAGGACCTCAATGGCCAAAATCTTCAGATGACTCACGGTGCCATGTGTTCACGGGTACAGAAATGGGAAAATAGGACTGATGTGGCTTGAGCATTGGTGCAAGAGGCGAGGGTTTCCGCTTCCTGCATCACTGGGACTGTTGTTATGGAAGTGAGACATGTCTGCATGTGAACCACACTGGACTAACATCCATGCAGGTACTGTTGGAAAGAATTTTAACTAGTCTGGCAAGGGGTGGAGGGACGCAATGTTGATGAAATAGAAATACATCATGCTATAATAAAGGAAGCAAGAGTGAGTTCAGCTGCATCGAGTGTCAAGAGAGGCTATGCGGATGATCTTAAATGCTTGCACAATCCTAAGGTAGTTTATAAATACATTAAAGGCAAGAGCTTAACTGAGGAAAGAGTAGGGCCCATTAGGGAACAAGGGGGCAGCCTGTGTGTGGAGCCACAGGACATTGGAATGGTGTCGAATGAATACTTCACTTCATTCTTCACTCTGGAAAAGGAAAACATAGAAAAGAAATTCAGGAAAAGGGACTGTGGGGGATTGCAAAGTCTGACATTGGAAATGGAGCGATATTGGAGCCTCCTTCGGGGTCAAAATGAACACCACTTCTGGCCTGGCCCAGACGAATTGCATCCTTTTTTGCTGTGGGGTTTGAGGCAGTAAATTGCCCTGGATCTGAGACAAATTTTTAACTGCTCTCTGCCCACGGGGAACATGCCAGAAGACTGGAGGACGGACGATGTGATTCTACCTTTCAAGAAGGGTGTTAGAGATGAACGAGGAAATTACACACAGGTGAGTTCATCATGTCTGACAAATTTGTTTGAATTTTTCACAAATGTGATCGTGTGGGGATGAGGGAAGTTTAGTTGATGTAGTTTATATAGATTTTAGCAAAGCTTTTGACAAGGTTCAACAAGGGAGACTGATTGAGAAGGTTAAAGCACATGGCATTCAGGGAAACTTGGTGAGATGGATCAGAAACTGCCTTAATGATAGGAGACAAAGGGTAGTAGTTGAAGGCTTTTCGAGAAGGCTGACTGGAGGCTGATGTTTAGTGGTGTACCACAAGGATCAGGACTGGGACCCTAATTATTTATTAACGTTCCTCCCACATTTTCATCTACATCATTAATGTATACATTAAGCACATTTGCAGATGACACCAAGGTTGGTAGGGCAATAGGTTGCAAGAAATTTCAGAAGGTTTGGTGAGAAAGGCAGAGCAGTGGCAGTTTATATTTAACCTTGATAAGTGCGAGGTGATGCAATTTGGAAGAAACAAAAAGTTGAGGGAGTATTTAATGAATGGCAGGACACTGGGTAGCTGAGAGGAACAGATGGATCTTCAGGTAATTAAACCCAAATTATATTCATGAAGTCAGCAGACCATGAGAATTGGTGCGTTAAGAAGTCCTATGAGACACTTGGTTTCATCGTATGTGGCACAGTGTAGAAGAGCAAGGAGGTAGTGTTGGAGTCGTACAGGGAATTGGTCAGACCACAGTTCTGGTCACCTCGCTACAGGTAGAATGTAACAGAGGGAGTTACAGGAGACTGGCCAGGATATTGTCTGGGATGGTGAAATTGAGCTCCAAAGAGAGGCTAGATATGCTTACATTGTTTTCTGTCAAGCAGAGAAGACTGAGACAGGGACATGATTGAGGGATTATGAGGGGGATGGACAGAGTGAATGGAGAGCAGCTTTTCCCCTTGGCTGAGGAGGTCAATCAAGAGGCGGCATAGTTTTAGTGTAAGGGGCAGGAGTTTCAGAGGGGATTTGAGAAAAAAACCCTTTCACTCGGAGGGTGGTAGGAATCTGCACTGAACTGCCTGAAAAATTAGCGGAGGCTGGAAACCTGACAACCTTTAAGCAATATTTGGATGAGCACTTGAAATACCATAACACTCAAGGAAATGAGACGTGCAGGAATTTGGGATTAGCCAGCTTCAATGGTCATGATCTCAGTGCAGACTCGATAGGCTGAAGGGTCTTTTCTGTGACTTTACGATATGGCTCGGGAACACCACTATGATATGGCTTGTTTGCCATTGATAAAGGCAGTGGGCTGAGCCAATGCTTTATAAACTAGAATGCCTATGATGTGCTGTTGACTCTTTTCAGAATGTGTCAGATGATCTGCAATCCAGGTAGGCATACAGCTTGGCACAGAAATGCCAGTGTCATTGACAAGAAGAAGCCAGTTGTCTTTTACCTTTTGAATACACAGGTCTATAGCCTCTGGGCTTGGGCTTTTATGCAATTCTTTGAATAAAACATGAATTCAGACAGACTCAGTAGACCACACATGTTCCTCCATGACAGTCATCAATAGAGCACTCGTGGCTGTCGGAGATTACAGTTAACTCCATTACAGCACTTGGCACCTCGATGAAGTGTGCCAAAGGGTCTGCCAGAATTCTGCAGCCTTTCACTGGACTGACATTTTCACCAATATTCACAACGATGTCCATAGTGCCAGGAGCTTAGATAGGGTAGGATTTGTTAGGTACATCTGGGAGGGATTGTTGGAACAATATATAGATAGCACAGAGATGGTAGGAATTGCCTATGCTGGAGTCTGAGATAACAAGGTGTGGAGCTGGATGAACACAGCAGGCCAATCAGCATCAGAGGAGCAGGAAAGCTGACGTTTTGGGTCTGGACCCTTCTTCAGATAGCACAACTAGGGAAGGGGCTGTACTGGACCTTGTGTTGAGGAATGAGCGAAGTTTCAGTGGGGAAGCATTTTGGAGCAATGATCATCATTCCAGAAGTTTTAAGACAGTTATGGATAAGGATAAGACTGGTCCTCGGGCGCCAGTGCTGAAGTTGTGGTGGGAAGGCTTATTCCATTAAAATTAGATGGGCTCAGTTAGTTCGATGGGTGACCGCCAGGAAAGGTAGGCGGGTATTACAGGAGTCTCCTGTGGCTATCCCCGTCTTAAACGAGTAAACCATTTTGGATGCTGTTGTGGAGGATAACCTCTCAGAGGAAAACAGCAGCAGCAGTGGGATCTGTGGCACCACAAATGACTCTGCTGTGAAGCAGAGTATGGCAGAATGCAAGCAATTGTCCCATTGTGATAGCGGGCTTTTTAGTGAGAGGCACAATCAGGCATTTCTGTAGCAGTTCTGAGTTCTGAGGAAGGGTCACCGGACCCGAAACGTTAACTCTGTTTTCTCCTCCACAGATGCTGCCAGACCTGCTGAGCTTTTCCAGCAGCTTTGTTTTTGTTCCTGATTTACAGCATCCGCAGTTCTTTTGGTTTTTATTTCTGTAGCCACGATCGAGACTCTGGGATGATGTGTTGCCTCACTGGTGCCAGAGTAAGGACATGTCGGAATAGTTGCAGCAATTTCTGAAAGGGGAGTGTGAGCAGCCAGAGATCATTGTATACATTGATACCAATGACTGAGGGAGAAGAAGAGTTGAGGTCCTATGCATTAAATGTGGGGAGGCGGTAGGAGGTTAAAAGGCAGGATCACAACTGCAGTAATCTCTGGAATACTCCTGGTGCTACGTGCTAGTGACAGTTCAAATAGGAGGATCGGGCAGATGAATGTGTCGCCGAGGAGCCGGTGAAGTTGGCAGCAGTCAGATTTTTAAATCATTGGGATCCCTTCTCGAGCAGAGGTCACTTCCGCAAGAGGGATGGGTTGCACCTTAACTGCAGGGGGACCAATAGCCTGGTGAGATTTGCTGGAGCCACTCAAGGAAGGCTTAAACGGGTCTGGCACTGGGGTGGCACCCAAACAGTCTTGCGACAAAAGCAAAGGTTGAGGTTCATACAGAAGTTGAAGAGAACAAGTTAATTAAGCAAAGCAGGCAAGAGCATGGCAGGGAGTGAGGTGAGCTGCCGAATTAGACCATTCATTTCAATGCAAGAGGCCTGCCAGATACGGGAAATGAACTCGGAGCATAGATGGGTACATGTGACTGGTATATAAAAGAAGAAAGAACAAAGAAAATTACAGTGCAGGAACAGGCCCTTCGGCCCTCCAAGCCTGCACCGACGTGCTGCCCGTCACAACTAAGACCCCTTACCCTTCCGGGGACCGCATCCCTCTATTTCCATCCTATTCATGTATCTGTCAGGATGCCCTCTAAAAGTCACTATACTATCTGCTTCCACTACCTCCCCCGGCAGCAAGTTCCAGGTGTCCACCACCCACTGTGTTTAAAAAAAAAACTTGCCTCGTACATCACCTTTAAACCTTGTCCCTCGCACCTTAAACACATGGCCCCTGGTAACTGACTCTTACACCCTGGGAAAATGCTTCTGACTGTACACTCTGTCTGTGCCCTTCATAATCTTGTAGACCTCTATCAGGTTCCCCCTCAACCTCTATCGTTCCACTGAGAACAACCCAAGTTTCTCCAATCTCTCCTCATAATTAATGCCCACCATACCAGGCAACATCCTGGTAAATCGTTTCTATACCCTCTCCAAAGCCAGCACATTCCTGTAGTGTGGAGATGAGAATTGAACACAATATCATAGCTATTACACAAACATGGCTGAGGGAAGGACAGGGCTAGCAGCTCAATATTCGTTGGTACAGACGCTGTAGAAAGGATAGAAGTGGAGGCAAGGGAGGAGGGGGAGTGGCATTTTTGATGAGGGAAAACATCATGGCAGTACTTTGAGGATATTTGTAAGGAATAATCCAGTGAGATCATATGGATGGAACTGAGAAAAAAGAAGGGATGATCCATTTGATGGGATTGTGCTGTAGGACCTCCCAAACTCAGCAGGAAATGGAGAGGCAAATATATGGGGAGATCGCAGTTAGCTGTGAGAATAACAAGATTGTAATAGTGGGTGATTTTAATTTTCCAAATAGGGACTGTGATTGCCATAGTGTTCAGGGGAAATAAGGCAGGGCAGGTGACTGAGGTATTAATAGGGGTACATTGGGACCAGTGTTCACAATTCTATGAATTTGACAATAGTTAGAGAAAACTACAGACATGTTCCACAAGTTAAAATTGTAAATTGGGGCAATCCAGTGTTGATGGTATTAGACAGGAATTTTGAAAAGTTGATTGGAGCAGGCTGTTTGCAGGTAAAGGCACATCCAGCAATTAGGAGGCTTTCAAAAGCGTGGTAATGAGTGTTCAGGTGCAGCATGTTCCTGTTAGTGTGAAGGGCAAGGTTGACAGGAGTAGGGAACACGAACTGACGAGAGATATTGAGGCCTTGGCCAAGAGAAAGAAGGCATATGTCATATATTGGCAGCTGGGATCAAGTGAATCTCTTTGAATACAGGAAGTGAAGTCATACACTTGAGAGAAATCAAAAAGGGGACATGAGATGCTTTGGCAAATAAGGTAAAGGAGAATCCAAAGAGATTCTACGAGTATGTTCAGGGCAAAAGCGTAACTAGGGAGAGAATAGGGCCCCTTAAAGATCAACGAGATTGACTATGTGCAGAGTCACGGGAGATGGGTTAGATCCTAAACAACTATTTTGTCAGTATTTACTGTGGAGAAAGACATTGAGTCTGGGGAGCTCGGGTAAGTAAATGATGATGTCTTGAAAAGAGTTCACATTGTAGAAGAGGAAGTGCCGGCAGTCTTTAAAATAAAGTAGATTAAAGTAGATAAATCCCCATGACCTTATCAAGTGTATCCCAGGACATTGTGGAAACTTAGGGAATAAAGTTCAGGGCCCCAAGTGGAGATATGTCTATCGTTGATAGCCAGTGCTGAGCTGCCAAAAGACTGGAGGGTGGCTAATGTGGTGCCATTGTCGAAGAAAGGCTGCGAGGAAAGGTGGGGGAACGAGCG